TTTGTGTATATGTCCTTTTGGTTTTTGTCTGGTCTAGTTTAAGTATTTGTAAGTGTATATATGTATGTTTCTTGTTCTCCTGTTAAAATCAATAATTAAAGGTTTAAAAAAAAAAAAAGAAAAAAAAAGGTCAAAGCGAATGCGGGGTTTTTTGTGAGGCGAGCTGTGTAGCGTGTGGGGTGGAACTCACTACTGCATGTAGTACTGCTGCGCGTAAACGTGCTGCAGCCACAGCAGCTGCTGGGGGCTGTACAGCGAGTAGGTGGGGAAGGCCGGACGGGTCATCTGTGGCGCTCCGGCCCTGCAGGGAAAAGACCACAGAGCATCAGCATCAGGGTTCAGGCTGAAGCCTTATCCACGGAAAAAGAGTAACAGATTGTGAGGTTACAAAGTTAAAGGAGACATATTATACCCTATTTCAACAAGTTAAGCTAGTTCCCTGGTGTCCTAATGTAATGTCTGTGACAAGCTTTGGTCAAAATCCCATAAAGATGAAGCACAATAGCAGTTCAGTCCCCCTGCCAAAACAGCCCCGGTTTTGAGTGCCTGTCTCTTTAAATGCAAATGAGACACAGGCAATCCACCCACTTCTCCCGGGAAGTGTGCATACGTCGGCACGCTAACGCTACCATGCTAACGCTACCATGCTAACGCTACCATGCTAACGCTACCACGCTACCAGGACGTCTGCCACAGATAGGGGAGTAAGCTGAGGTGTGGGGCAACATGCAGGTGAAAGGCTGGAATATTATAATGAGCTAGAGCTAATGACGTCAGAAACTACCCACTCCTGAAACCTCCTGATTTATCTCCTGTATTGAGACTGAGGCGGCCCACAAAAATATGACTGACTCATTTTTTTTTCACAATTTGCCTGCTGATAGGCCCTCCACAGTCCCAAATGTACATAATCAAATGAATAAAAACTTGGTTTTGCATAATATGTCCACTTTAAACCTCTTGGAAGTGACAAGGAAACATCATTTTGTCCCGCTTACATTGCAGCTGGGGGCCATGAGGGGGCTGGCGGGGGGGATGCGGGGCTCTGTGCCGGGCCTGAGGAAGAGGCGGGCCTCCTCTGCCTCAGCTCTGGGGGGCTGGGAGTCTGGACAGGCGTGGGCCGAGGACTGGGCGGCTGCTGCTGCGTCTCCTTAGTCTGCAAATTTTCAAACAAAAGAGAAAGATTGATGGCCGATGCAGCGAAACCAGCCGAGAGCAGGTTTAGAAACTAAAGCAGTTCTCCTCAGGCTCCTTAAAGATGACAGCTGAAGTGGAACGGTATCACATTGAACAGCCACACCTGCAGCCCAGCTTTCAAATGACTGTCATTAAGAGTTCAAGCTGAAGAGAAGAAAAAGATAGCTGGCTCTGAAGTAGATCATTGACAGAAATACTAAATTGATTAAAAATAATAAATTGATAAGAAATACTGCGAAATCCACTCGATGCAAATGAAAACACGGCACAAAACGTGTGTTTAGTCAGAGGCTTCTGCAGTTCCATTTCTACAGGAAGAGCCACCCGCCTGACTCCAAATAAAGACTTTATTTCACTTTCTTTCAGGCCGCAAAATAGTTTGCCACTTTATCGATAAAGCATCGTTCAGTTCATTCAAATCTAACAAAAGCCTCTCAAATCTCAAAAGTCAAATGTAAAAAGACAAAAAGGTATAAGAATATTTTAGTCACAGACCTCTAAATAGAGGTTACAAACAGGAATACGGAGCGTGACACTAAAATAGCCTAAAACCTGCCCCGTCCTACCAGAAAAAGACAAAAGCACTTTTACTTGAATCTTCTTCATTCCTCACCTTGGGTCTGGCTCCAAGTGCTCCTTGGGGGGGATTCCTCATGGCACAAACCAGGTGCAGCGTGGGAACCGAGTCAGTCTGCCAACGCGGACATAAAAGGCAAACTGTTAACAGCTGTGTTCCAGCCGCCGGAGTCACAGCAAATGGGTAAATACAGGCACCGGGGATTTTATCTAAGCAGGCCCAAACAGGGTCGCCTCCAGTAAAAAAAACTTTACTTTCCAGTGGAGCGCAGTTCAAGGAAAGTGGGGAACCAGTTGGGCAGAATACTCAGTCCCTGAGAAAACGATTATATCTGGAAAAGTCTTTAATAAAACTCTAAATCAGCAAAGAACAGAAGGATGAATCATGTCTTTATTCAGCCCACATAAAGTGGGTTAAACGGGTAGCCGTCTTTGGTTTCTTTACAGTTTTATTTACTGTACTTTGTGTTGCCATATTTTCTGTCATTTTCAGTTTGTTGTTGCATCCTCTGTGTGTGTGTGGGCATGTTTCCATGGGTTCACAGCGAATCACATCCTGAAAATCCTGAATTTGTTTTGGTAAACGTGAATTGTTTTTAGGACAAATATCGCTTTTGTTGTCAGAGATGCGACAGAGAACATGTTCATGTTTTTTTTTCTGAAAACGTGTGGGATGATTCCGCATCTCTTTGCTTCCGGAGGTACGAAGTTTAGCCCCATGAGCGCTGCAGGCGTTTGCATTTCCCATTCTAATTTGACTGGCAAATGAAAGACTCAAAGCCGAGCCGACAGAGTCTGTCGGATGACTTAAATTTTCCGGGTGCGTTTCGGGTTCACACAGGGCTGTGCGCATAATTAATGTTGTGTTACATCTGACCCCACGTGTCCAACTCCTTGACTACCGACTGTTGCCTAAGAGAGATGGGTTGTTTTAATGGGAAGCAGAACGCTTGAGAGAAAGGACAGGAAGTTAAACACAGTGGAACAATCGCACCTGATTTGGTTGGAAAGTTTAAGTTAGCTTTACAGCTCTGTAGTTTATGTGTACAGATTTGTTTAAGAAAACAAGGCGCCCCCTAAACCTGTATTCCTTTGTGAACTCTGGTTCGTGCTGGTATAATCTGAGGCTACATGAGCCTCTAATGGGATTCACAGACAAAAACCATGAGACAAACCTATGAAATATTACCCTACTCTTGTTTTGTAGACGGTAAAACCCCTTTCACAGCCCATGGGAAGCACTCTGAGGCTCCATGACATCAGACCCTCATCCATGAAAGAGGGGAATCAACTTGTGATGAATGATAATGAGGCCCTCCACAATTTAGAGCACAAACAAAACACCCATACAAACCTGTCTGAAGAGATCTTTAATGTGCAGATGATCCGGAAGCAGTTTTCCACCAAAGATCAGCCTCTGGTCAGTCACCGCCTGTGGGAAAAAAGGCGACTTTGGGTTTGCATGAGCACGTCAGCAATAAATACAGCTTCAGAAATCGAGCTATGGCTCAATTACAAACTACTCTTTCCTTATTTTTGTGTAAATGGCGCTCTGTGTTTTATTGTTTAGTATTTTTAAACACAATTGAACGACTAATTTTGTCCCAAACATGTAATTTTTTTAATCTCTTTCTCTTGTTGACGTGCTGGATAAGAGCTGCGTGTTCTGTACTGTGGTACACGGAGCCTCATAACGCCTGAAACACATGTCTGATTTCCCACAGATTAGTCAGAATGCTCAGCAATCATTGACTGTTAGTTACGCTTCATTCCTCTCTTGAACCGAGACATTTCTACGTTTCATGACCTACGAAGCGTAGATCCCCAACTGACATCCTCTGAATGCCGCTTCCTCAGGGAGTGTGAAACCTCAAAGGCGTCACAAATAAACCTACAATTACGACCGACACCTGATGAGAATGTGAGAAAATTTAGTGAAAAAGTACATAAATCAAACAGTAGCTTTATTTCATACTTCTTCTTCAGAAGTGTCAAAGTCTCAGAGGCAGACGCCACAAAGCAGGTTTGTCATCACTTCCAAACCACATTTAGAGAGTGAAGTCCATGTCTGAACTTTACATAACACTAACAAGTTATTACAGACTCTTCAGCAATTGAACTCAAGGTGGATAACGACTGAGACTGTTTTTAGTACAACAGAAAAACGGATGTTGAACAGAAATGACCCTGCAATAGTTTCAAATCGCATTCACTGTGTCCACTTTAGGAAATTACTGTCCAAAAGCAGTAAATAAATCAGGAAAAAATGCAAATCTACTTTCCCTTACTGTTTTAACTAAGTAATTATGAGTTGTGTTTTGCACTTCCTCTAAAGCTAATACTTGTTGAGGTCAGCTATCCCAACATAACGCCCCAATAACTTTAGTTTAAAGAGTTCAAAAGAAAAAAAATGTTCCCATTCAGGTTCCTGTCAATGCCTGTAATAGCTGTGCATGTAGAGTGTGAGGAAAGGACAGAAATAAGGTCGGTAAGAGGGGAAATGGCTGACAGCTGTTAGCTTGAGGCTGTCCCATCAGCTCCCTCCGGTCACAACATTCCTCAACATAGCATCAAGCTAGTTCCGCTAACGTTAGCCGGACAACTTAACGGATAGCTCACAACTCACCGGTTTTGTTGGGTAAACAGCCGACAAGTGCGTTTTTAGTTCCAACACCGTCCACGTCAGGTGGACTCCCTCGATTTTTCGGTCCTCTTGAGCCTGGTTGGGCGTTTTAATGAGAAGACTGGTCGTCTTTTGTTGAGAATCTCCCTGATCCATTTTTTTCCCCCTCTGAGAGTCGTTGTTGCCCCAAACTAAGAAATAATGCCAACCCCTACGGCAACGCCGATTAATGACAGACAAGTCAGCTGTCCCAGTCAGCCAACCGACGCTAAAAAAAAGTCAGCGAAAACCTTCCGGTAGATGCAGAAACCTCCAGCACTGAGCTGGGCGTAAAAATGTGTCTGCGGTCCGTCATACGGGACTTTAGAGGAGGAATGTTGTTTCCAAACACACGGTGGCTGCTCCTGATTGGTTACTGTCCGCTTTCGCTCTGACGTGGAGGCTCGCTGGATTGTCATAGTGTGAGCATGCGCAGTGTGTGATCTCGATAGACGATTGTTTCTCATACAAATTAGGATAAAGACCACTCACTATGTTTCGAATTCGACAACTCACTTTAAAAAAAAGATGCGCGGGTGAATACTGAAACAAAATCCTTAGTATGCAGGTAGCCATTAGCGG